TTCTTCTTCTTCTTCCTCTTCTTTACTTTCTTTCTTTATTTCTCTCTTTCTTTCTTTCTTTCTTTCTTTTTCTTATTCATTCATTCATTCATTCATTCATTCATTCTTTTTCTTATTTTTTGACTTCTTCTTCTTATTCTTCTTTTTCTTTTTCTTCTTTTTCTTCTTCTTCATTTTCATTTCCTCTCCAGGTTGCAGGCCCCGTGCCACGAAGCGAGGGGAATCGTGAATATATGCATCGGAGCTTTGGGGTTTGGTGGGGATGTGTTGTATTCGAGGGGGTGCATAGGTATACATGCCCGAAGTGTGACTTAATTGTAAGTATGGTCGTGTTCCTAAGTTTTGACGGGTTCAACCACTGCCTCACCGTGCAACTTCCTCGGTAGACTACTGCGTGCCATAATACGGCCAAACGTTACTGAATAACGCCATTCTGCCGCGCAGTAGTCAACCTGTGTGTGTGTGTGTGTGAGTATATATATATATATATATATATATATATGTATATATATACATATATATATACATGTATATGTATATGTATATTTATCTATCTATCTATCTCTCTGTGCGTCTCTTTCTTTCCGCCTTTTCAGATATCAAGAATGTTGGAAGTCGGAGAGAAACGAAAGGCAGGAGAAGAGACAGAGTGCGATCGATCTCCAGATGTATATGCACTGTGGGGAGGCAAAGATGAAACACAGGCTTTAATCGATGAGAGTTGGACTGAGATAGTAGAAAAGCAGCAAGAAGTTATAGATAAACTGACAGCTGAACTGATCGAGCAGAAACAGTTGGTCACCCAGGCGCGAGATGAGACAGGTCGTGTGGAACTTGCACTCGCGGAAATGATAGAAACTGCGAAAAGTATGCAGTATAGCATATTCTGGTTGTTGCTGCCTGATCCGAAGTCTCTTGTGACGGATCTGAGGGAGGGCATGACCGAACAATTTAAAAACATGGCGGACTTAAATAATTGCACGTTAGAGGATTACCAGAGTATGGTTGCGAATCTCAAATGCTATCGAAAAAATCTGCTTAGTCTCATCGACAATTCATTCCGAGGCACAGCACAAAACGCTTGTGAATGGGAAGTCACATGTTGTTCCTCTGCTGACAAATGTGTGGTCAGGGAAGGGTGGGGGTCTTATGATAGTCAGGAACTGGACAGAGGTCCGCTGACAGCGTGGTCGAAAAGTCTTGTAGATCTTTTGTCTTTTGCCGAGGACTGCATCCGTCATTGCACGGAGACCGTAAAGCACTACACTCTCAACCATCGGCCGCAGACCGACGGCGCACATACGGGATGCGATGGCCTTAATGAGAACGTATGAACTCTGCTGAACAGCTGCGCCGATATTGTATGTTCTCTTCAGCACACCAGAGGTCGCCTGGCATCCGGACAATTGTCTGTAATGCCGAACCCCGTAGAAATCAACGAGGCGCACAATGAGCAAGCCACGAACGCTAGCAGGGAGGTCGATCTCACTATGCGGATGTGCAACAACGACGCAGGTCGAAGTGTCTGTGAGGCACCGACACACTTGTTGCTAGACTGCAAAGATATCAACACCTTTCGATGTCATGAAATTCGACACAATTTCCCTTGCGTCCTCGCCAGCAAAGCACCGTCGACAAGCAATGCAGAGTTCGCAGTGCCTATG